CCCTCCTGTATAAAGTTCTGCGAGTTAGTATCTTCTGAGAGAAACAAGAGTGTAGCAAATTTATTGAGTAACGAAATTAAATCTACGAATAATCACATCTGCAATGAATGTTCGAAGAAAAACATGGAGACGATGGCACAAAAAACCCGTGAATTGACGAGATAAATATAAATTACCCTTTTGCTATATAGTAATACATAACGAAAAATATTTTCCATACTCTACTATCGCAGTTGTCAGTGATACTGGCCATCGAATGCTCTGGAATGGCAGCTGTCAGTACCCTCAAACCTTGACTCCAGCACCGTAGGGTTAGCTCGTGAGAACAGATCGTCCAGACTGCTGTATTCGGCCTCGTAGTACTCCAGACACCTTCAAAATCGATGATTGTTGAAAATTGTATTTTCTCATAGTTATATTTCTTTGAGGCGCCGCTGGAATTTTTAGACGATGGCTGTAAAGGATATGCCCCCGGCGATCTAGCATAGTCCTACACACAGCCCTATCGGCGTGCTACGCCCCCTCTCGCTGTCTGACCCTCTACGTTTAGTACGGAGCGTTATCGTTGAAGAGGGCAACAACGACGAGAGTGGTGATTCTAATAAGCTGCCTCTTCATTGCAATTCCCGCCTCGATTTGGATTAAAAAACATTCTCAGCATCAATGCTTCACAGTAGAGCCTCATTGGTCCTTCGCTGCTATTGAAGCTGTCAGGATCGTACGACCTCATCTTGCCCACAAAGCGTCGTAAAGGACGCCTCAAGCAAGGCTGCTCCGGCATGTTATATCTGGATTTAAAATTGGTTGCCATCCCGAGTAGTCGAACGTAGCAAAAATTGTGCCGATTTCCCAAAAACGGATCTCACCACCAAGTGAATAAGCGCTAAAAGAAAAGGGGGAGGAAGGTCCCTAGGGGACCACGTGATTCATTCTGATCACTATTACTGCTCAACCCCCCACCCCACCCCAACCTCACCCCCTTTAACCCTTGTCCTTCGGATGAAGCATGAATGAAAAGCGCGGTGGCATGTCTGTTAGACGGAGTCTTCAAGCCCTTTCCCTCGCTTGTCGAGATGTCACATGAATTCATTCGGGATTCATTCGGAATAGAAATACGACGGATGCGAGCATATCTGTTCAAAGTTCACGTTGCTTCGGCCAACCACATTCCGACAACCGGAGAAAATTGAAGTTGGTAGGAGCACAAAAAAGGTATTCCACAATGAATTGGAGGTCAAGGAGGTGGGAGTATACCTTTTACAAAGGAGGTTCCTCTAAGGAAGCGAGTGGAAGCGCGTGTAAAGAGTGGGACCGTAGCGACTTAGCAGGGCCTTACACGTGGCGCTGACGGCTCCACAAGCCCCATCGTAGCTTAAGAGTTCTTTCTATGGATATTCAGTGAACTTTCTCGCCATCGTATCGGAGTGTTTGCGAAACATAACGAATTTCAAGCATTTCTCAAGGGAACCATTTGTCACAAGTTGGCTCAGAATAGCGGCTTTCTGAGAATGCTACTCATTTCGGCCTTGGCTGCATACAAAGTGCGGGTGTTTGTGGTACGTCATCCCGTAATCGCTAGGAGTTCGAAGAGTACTACCAAAATGGCTAAGCTAAGGAGAAGAACGTTGTCGAATGCATCCACGAGATCTATGAATGGATACAAGAGTTCATGGCTCACTGTTGAGAGATTAGGATCAGATTATCAGCGAGCGCTCTGCGTCACGAAGCTTATCTGACCATGAGCCAGGACTTGGACTTACCTATAGATGATAACAGCCTGCCATATGTGCACAAATGAAAGAACCACGCAGACGGCCACAGTGCCCCCAATCACCGCCAGGGCCATGTTCGTCGACGGTGGGGTGTCGAAATCCAGGGAATGACCTGAATTTTCTATTAGCTTCAAGTGATGATATAATGATATGCAAGAAGACGTACCGATGATCTGCCGCATTGTATCGAAGGAGATAAATGAGAAAATTAGGATGATAGTCGCCATCATCATGCACACCAGCTGCTGGACTATCTGAAAATTGAGGCATGGTGAGTGATTTGCCTAGCGCCAGCTCTGGTATTTAGCGACCTCAGTAGGATAAAAGGGAACCCAATTTGATGGTTTCCGTCCGTAATGTCACGGAGCAATAAGACAGGGTTATATTTTTCCTTACTGATCTGTTTTTTCTCTCCAAGACCGAGAGCGACAGCCGATTTCCTTTAGTTATCCCATTACAAGTACCGCGTGGGAGGCAATCCAAAGATTCTAAGACAAATATACAGCACAGGTAGTTCATCGCGTTAATTATGGCTATTAATAAATATGAAAGTGGAGGTTGCATAACTTCGTATAATGTGAAAAAAAAAACAAGAGAAGCGAACGAAAGCCCAAACGGGATCTTGTTCAATTCTATTTCTGGGGATGTGGAAAGGAGACAGTTCTACTGGCTATTGTCTTCGAGTTTTAAGCATTCCTATCATACTTAGACTGTTCGATTAGTTGATTAATCAAAGAGTAGGGTGCGCTTAGTTAGAAAAAATTCGAAACGATAATGAGTGCGGTATACTTTAATCACATTCGGTGTGTCGGACAATGCCTGTTTGGACCAAGCGGTGTACGAGAACGGAGAGGGTTTTTCGAGGCAATCCTGCGCTGTTTTTTCCCACACCCGTGACACCCTGCTTCACGTCGCGAGTAGCGCCACTATCGATATCTGACCTTTTAAGCTTTCCACTAAAGTGCCTGTACAACTGCACACATCTATTCATTGTCTACCTTATATATCTGTGCTCGTCGTATGATCAGTTGCCGTACGGCCATGCATTTTATTTACATTACACATATGTAGAACATACATACCATCTGGACTTATGCGTCGTTATTAGTACTGTATTCCTAGTGTCGTTTTTTCACCATGAGTTTCGGGACCACCATATATTTTAATTCAGAATCTGGGGAGTGAAACAGCATATTCATCGAATGACTCATTAGCACTTTCCCATTTACCAGTATGAGTGGAAACCTCGTACGATTAAAGCTAGGAATTTTTTGAGTCGAAAAAGAGAGGTAGGTCGGTTTTGACATCATCTGACAAATCATCCCTCTCACTTGCTAAAAGTTGGCCTGGACAAAAGAAGTATACATTTAGTTAGAGTAGGGTCTGCACTGTTTGGTGGAAAATTTATTACTTACCAGCTCAACTGGACAATTTTTCCCGGAGTCTTTTTTGCCACATAGGGTCAAAAACGCACCCTTTTTGAGCACACGTGAGTAGCAGATGAGCACATTTATTAGAATTTCTTGGTGCAATCAACTTCGTTAGAGCGTTTGTGCATCATCGATCAGTCACTGCTAAGGTGTCCTACCATTTCAGCACAAGACTGGTGCAGCCCCGTCTCGACTGATTTAACTAGGGCCACCTTTTTGACGACGATTGCGGGCATCACTTCAAAGACTTCACTGTCTTTTGAGAAAACTGTGAAAAACCGATGAGCATTTTAAATGGTAGTATTCCCTCCAACAAATGCAATGTTGGTTTGGTGGGCGGAAAGTTGTAGCTCTCAGCAAGAATTTTGAAGCATTTGGTACACACATGCGAATTTGCACACTGACCAGGGATTTTCAAAAAGTATTAAAAATTGGGGGAAAGTTAAATTGTGAACCAACAATAGAAAACAATAAGCAACATATTTCGCAATATTAATGAGCAAAAACTGCCTTCTGGGATATTGATTTTCCATAGTAATCGGCCCCAAAACTTCCTGAACTCAGAAAAGCGACACTAAGATATCCGGTACCTAATATAAGCCAAAACATATATCAAGTGTATCTCTTGCCCGAACCACTTGGCAAGTTAAAGCGGCTTACAGATGGGAAGAGAAGCATGAATGGGTCTGTCCGATGGACTACTTGGAAATTACAATAGCGCGCGGCTCGATCAACGTTCGCGAGATGTGGTGATCAAAGTTATGTAACGTTTTGTTATAAACTGTAGCTCGACCGATTGCCTTGCACCAGCTACCATATTGGCAGAGGCCATTACAAACCCATCGAAAATCCATGAGCCAGCCACTTGGCTAGTTCCATCAGTTCAGGGTGAATTTTTATAGTTAACTACAAAGGATAAAATGAATATACCTCACGTTGATATATAGATATGGATAAGTTATTTGTGGCGGTTTATAATGATCGCGTAGACCCAGTGAGGACAGAACTAATCGGGACGATGAGCCATGTGAGAGTGGATCGCATGCCAAACAGCAATGAGAACACCGAGCACACCACATACCACACAAGACACACCTGTGTTCCAGTCTGAAACTTGTAGGTTAAAAATTCCTCGGCAATTATTGCATATTTGACCCCAGAGTTTTTGTTCATGACTCAATATAATTCGAGCAAGGTAAACTGATTTTTAAAAAACCACAAAGGTATAATAATAGCGAGAGTATGGTGACGTCGAAGCACTTCGGGAGAGGACTCTAACTCACACCTCTGCTTACAGGGCGTTTTGCCACCACTACACGCTAGACAACGACAATTTTTACTTTCGTATAATGTGGTTATTTGTTAGTCAATGCTCTGCAGTTACACAGGAGTAATTCAAAATGGTTTATACCAGACTGAGACTATCGGATGTGATGAATTAACTATCTTTCACCTTTTTTTCTGGAAACTTAAACACATTGGTGTAATCTTATCAAATTTATTGATTTATTCTTTGCAAGATTATGAGTCAAAAGGGGTGATTTTAATAGTAGTTTAGTTAAATGCTTTCCATCGGTACCGTTTCAAAAAACTGTTCTGTGTGAATAGGAAGTAGTGTGGGATACAAGAATACAGGGCGGGCTTGAAATCACTATGCATAATATATTCGCACAGCAATTTCGGGTCATAAACTTTCGGAAATCATCCTAACAGGAGTATTGTTTGTATAGATAAATATGATAGTCCAAAAATTGTCACGATTTTCAAATGGATCGCTTCTAGAATGCAAGGCCCAGATTTTTGGCAAGGCAAAGTTGTTGTACACACAGGTGTTTTTTTTATGAAAGTAGTCCCAGTACTTCAAAATAAACATTTTGAGAAGATGCGATTTCGATATTGATAGAATAGATTTTTTTTCTGCAACGCTGTAGAGGAGATATATCGGTCTTAATCTCGTAGAAGAGACTTGTCACTGTGATTTCTGATGCGGAGATCGTGGACGATACGTCCTGAGACCACTCTCGGTCAAGAGTACTGGAGAGAAACCCTGCTAATCTAACTGACACTTTCTCCAACAATGCTGGCGGTGCTGTGCAATGCTTTTGGTTATTGAACAAATTTACTCCGAGTTGAAAGCGCCGTATGAACAATTTTTTGAATCATATGAGAATCGACAAAAACATTTTGAATTAGGGCGCTTGTTGGTGGTTTGATTCTTGCCACTTCGTACGCCGAACGGGACGAAAACTTCGATTCAGTGCGAGAGTAACTAGGCAGATATGGATACAGCACATTCGTAAGAGAATGAACGATAATACTCTTCAATAACATTTTCGAAGAGAAAATCAAAATAGTGTGCCACAAGATTTTCCCTTACCCTGTGGACTTATCTGAATCTGAAAAGGCTCTCATTCCGAGATAAACGTCGAACTTACGGAGTTAAACTTAAAACGGCATTTGAGTTTCAATCTTTTTTTCCCTTGAGTGAGAAGAAGAAAGTTGTGAGATCATAATTAAAGGGATGGAGCCCATCAAGCTTTCCGTTCTCCATGCGATACTGTTCAAAGAATATAGCATACATTATACGAAGTTGAAATACTTAACAAACATTAACACGTTGACG